CCAGAGGCCAGACGGGCCGAAAAGGAAGGGTCTGCTGGTAAAGGGGTTTTCAATCGCCATATGCTCCGAAGCCCGCAAACCAGCTCAAAGACGAGATGCCCGGATCATATGGAGACGGCCTACCCTCGAACTGGCTCAGCAGTATGCCTGTAGGCCTTGTGAGAAATGCAGCTCCTCGATCCATCCCCATCAACAGTTCGGCAAGTCGTTGCTTACATCCCGGCCATCCGGCCAGCAATGCAAGTATCGGGGGTAACAAAAATTGGCTTGGTAAGGACAACTTCGTCTTGCTCAGCTCTGGTAAACTTGGTATCCAATGATGGGAGGAAGGCCGATCTGAGAGAAAAGTCTCGCCATCTCAAACTCTGAGACATCTTGGAACGGCCATCCTTTCGCCCATCCCCGCGGGGTTGAGCTACTATCGAATTCCAGTGATCATAGTCCCTAGGTGCGGCAGATCATGATAATTGAGAATACCGTACTCCCTACCTAGCAAGAAAACATGCGACAGCCAAAGGACCAATGGAGGATAACAGCTCTCTGGCTTGGGCCACTTGAGAAATCAGTCCACAAGCTGATGTCATTCCCACCTTTTCCGTCACCAGAAAGCTTCTCCAATTTTTTAGGCGTGGCTCTTGTCGCCGTCTGCAGCTAGCAAGTAGCGGGGGTGGGTGATGGAAGGCAAATCATTATTGCATAGTAAGCGGCCTAGGCTTGCTGTTGTCGAAAACGAACCCCCAAGCACTTGGCCTCTGACGTTCGTCAAAGGAGAGACATGTAGCAACTGAAATACCGTATGGTCGAAGTCTCGTTCATCTCGTCCCCAAAGACGTCGAATGTCGCCGCTGCAGAGTCCAAACCGTCGGTTCTAGATGGCGCTGCTTGTTCCCTTCGCCATGCTGTACAGCAGCCCAACGCCGACGCAGACACGATGCGTGGGATTGCGGATACGTCGCTGAGCAGCAGCAGCACCAAAGGCGACCGGCCAAGACCAGATTGAGCCCCAAAATGCAGGGAGGGCGTGGCGATAACACTTGATGTAACTATCACTGCAGCGGAAATAAGAGGTGCGTCTCCCGTCTGAACGCTTTCGGACTGGCGTTGTGCTCTGCCCTGACGCCCGGCCTTCCATGAATTCCGTCCAGATTATTCCCTCTTCGCGGTCGCGCTCTCATTGGGCGACACAGCAGGACGGCAAAAAAGGTCGCTTTGAGTTGTACCTTGTAGCGGCGCATCGATATTACTGTGTGTCATGGATATGGTCGAACCAAAAGGCCTAGCGGACCAAGGGTAGCACTTCGGCGGTGCTTGATGAGAGAATCATTCCTGCAACAGGGACCGGCCAAATTACCGCCACGGCTCTTCCCCGTCTTGGCTTCGGATCGTGGGCGAGCACAATCTGCCGGCAGTCGGCATGATATGAGTATTGGCCTGGTTGGCGATGCCGCAGCTGCTGTTGAGCTTCTCGAGCGTACAAGAGAGGAGGTTTGACTTACACCAAAAGACTCTGCGAGAACGATTAGCTACAGTGATCTTGTCAATTGCGAAATCCGTCGAGATGAGAGGTTTCCACTCCCCCAGTTTGTAGGTAGTCTGTATGGTGGGAACACAGCACCACTGTTTCGGGCCTGCATCGCATCGCGCGTTTCAACCAACCCAGCTCTTTGGGCAAGATCTTTTTGCCTCTTGCCGGTCTTTGTCGCAATACATCTGTCATCTGGTCACATTCTGCCGGTCACTGTCCATATCAACCGTGCCCTAGAGATGGGTGTTGCGGGGAATCTGGGGGTGGACTGGCAATATCCCAGCCTATTCGAGACACCCCGAGCCCCGTTGACTCCGGCTTCAAATGTCGACGCGGATACAAGACCGGGAAGAAGAGTTTCTGTAAGGTGTGCGTCAGGCGCCAAGGCATTTCCTCTCTTTCCGTGTGAGAAACACTTAGAGGTTGGTTTGAGAGCTCTTCTATACTGCAATGCCATCTACTCAGGTCCCGAGCCATCGTCCGCATGCTGAAAGCCTGCAAAGCTGAGCCAAGTTGATCTATCTACAGCGTCATCATGACTGTGCTGTATTGGAGTAGCCTCGTTGATCAACCCCAATAATGGCCTCCATCAGAAGCGCGCAATCGACGGCCACATGGCGCTGGGCTGCGGGGAAAGCTTGGGCGATTGCTGCACACCCTTTGTCGTCCACTTGATCGATGAAAGGCCAAGTTCCCATTGCTTCCGTATGTGTATGCATATATCGAGTCGAAACACCCACCTTCTAGTGCGAATGGTCCGATGATGGCACCAGGCGCCGGACGAACCACGACATGTGTTCGAGCTCCCGCTGTAGTCTTCGGGGTCCTCCCTGTCCTGGATAGCCCATCATGCGTGTTGGCTTGCAATTGCCTTTTCCCCAGATCTGGTGGCTTCTAGCCTATTTCCCCAGACTGCGCCGGCGTCGTACGTAGCCCGATACTTCCTAGGAATTTGGAAGCAAGCTACGGCGTGGGAGTCCTTGTGTCCATGCACTCTTCTTGCGTCCCTTCGTCCGGAACGGGGGCAGACTTGGTTGTCTTTCGACTTACAAGCGTCTGCCAGGCCTAGTACGTGTGTCTTTGTACCTTGATTCTGTCAAACGATGGTTCAAAATAGCTACCCCAAACAGACGTCGAAAGTTTAGGTCAATTTGAGGTACTAAATATCTTCATTCCGAACCGGCGCCGACAAACCAGAGTGATGACAAGGCAAGATGCTACTCCGTGCAGTGGAAGTCACCTGTTCTGACGAATGCCGCGCCTGTCCATGCCCTGTCATGCAACCCTTGACGTGGGATGCTCTGCGATCTCTTCTCGCAGCGGTGACAGTGACACCACACTAGGGCGCTCATCACTGCCTCTTTCTACTGCCGGCTCCGTGGGATCATCAGTCCACTAGGTAACAAATGTCACCTGAACAGATACCCATTGGCTCTCTGCCCCCTGGCCAGCTGCGAATCGCTCTTCCCTCCGCTGAGCCAGCTGGCAATTCAAAGTCGGCATTGGCGCATACCGAGCGACTTTGCTCTGGGGTTGCGTGGTGATAGCAGCAACTAGTAGTCGTTAGTGAACGACGGACTGGGGAAATCGAGGAGATCCCGAGTAGTCAGCGGGAAGGAAGGCGACAGACGCCACGAATATGACCATTTTCAGTAGCGGAATGTTTTCCAGCGCGCTCATGGATTCCAAATGTCTGACGGACGGCGTAGTTGAACATTGCAGAGTAAATCAAGTACCTATGCACTTAGACCTTTGTTGCCTGCATCCCTCTGAGAAGCCAGCCAAAACTTCGCACAAAGGTCCATCTCGACCGTCCCCATGCCGCGGCCTGGACGAACGGCGCAGCCAGGCAGCGTACAATGATAAACTGGCGAGAATTCGCGCCCCGTCGTCTTTGTCCAGCCTCTAACCAGCACCTTGGCCCGAGCAAGCCGCCGTTCAACGGTAGCCGCGGATCGATTTTCTATGCCCAGCCCCTTGGTCCGTCATGCCAATGGTTGAGGCTCGAGTGAAAGCCGAATGGATCAGAAGACGACAGACACACCAACCTATCCGAACTGCCAAGAAGGCAAGAAGCCAGTCCTTCTGTCTTTCTCAACCCCCTTTTTGCATGGCCAAGGCCGCTCTCGCAGCGTTTCCGTCTAGGGCTTGTGCTGGAATTACCGCAAAGACGCCCCCTAGAAGGTCTATGGTGCGATGCCAAGAATCACAGGGCTCCGTCAGCACGTTGTTCAGGACCCTGTCCCACAGCAGCCGCCTGCGGCGTGGCGTTCCAGGGCTGCGCTGTTGCACAAAGCCTAGGCTGTCCAGTGGTAGGGGAGAGCTAAGGCTGCTAAGCAACTTCCATTTCTCCGAGATGCCTCCTCCTTGGGCAAGAATCGTTCCACTTCGACGCGGCGTTGAGAGGTGGATTCCCAACCTTTTCGCTGCTGTTGAGGTGCCCCCGTGCACTCGCCTCGCAGAAAGGAATGATTCCGCGTCAAGTCTGAAGCCGAGCCGAGAAAGATGAGATGGCAGACCGGAGTTTAACGTCGAGCCTCCTTTTGCGTCCGTCGGCTCGTGTGAATGCAGGCTGTGAATATGACTGGGGTGAGGTGAAGCCAAAGAAGCTAGGACCATCTGTCAAGAGGTCTCCTCCTCACTACTCAATAGACACTCACTGCACTCCCCCAAAGCTAGATGCGTTCTGGGATCCTAGCCTTCAGACTTCAAAGTTCAAACAGTTGCATTTAGCCGTTACTGCCTGCATGCCTAGGAGCGGAAGCCGATGCCAAGAAGGGAGGCGCAAACGATCACCACCGGATAACTCGGCAGCACCCAAAGTTCAGGCTACCCATGCATGCCCGTGGCATCTCGACGACCAGTGTTGAAATTTTGGCGGGATGGTTGAAAGGGGATTGATAACATTCCTTTTTGGGGTTGCTGACGGTGCGGATGCAACCCTCACGTTTCCAATTGACTCCCCGGCGAGGCGTCCGCCGTTTCTTCGTACAGCCAAAGTAAGACAGCTCCAGTCTGGCACTCTCCGGCGCAGGCCGAGTCAAAAGCGCCGCCTATTGATAATGCGATGAGAGTCGTGTTGATTTGGCACCGAGGCATTTTGTTTGATAGCCAGGAGGTCGGCTGCATTTGTTGCGCGTCGTGATAGTATCGCTTGTAAGAGAATATTTGGTGACAGGCATTGCAGGCAGCCACCTGGGCGCGCCAGATGATAGACGGAAAATTGAAAAGGTCATTGCTTCGCAGTCAATTTCACCGAACGAGGCCCACCAGGCGCGTCGCAACCAACAAGGCATCCTAGTGTCATCTTCCATGCATTTTGAATGAATGCGACAGCCCTCCCACACGAGCTCGACAAGGAAGATTTTCCTGTAGCAGAGTCGGCTACTACCACAGTATGCATGCATCTGAAAAGCAAAATGATGTCGCGGCCCGTCGTCGTTTTCAAAAATCAACACCGAACGATAATAGTGAACGTCAAGGACAGGATTCGAACCTGCGCGACCGAAGCCACTGCCTCAACTGACATCAGAAGATCTGATAGCAGGGCAGCCCATTAACCACTCTGGCACCTTGACTGTTGTTGGATGCTGCTTTGTGGCGCTGGAATGACCATGTTGTGCAGTGACAGCTGGTGGAGATTGGCTAGCTCTCGTCAACACGACAGGGGCATGCATCCTCCATGCTGCACAATTGGTTGCCAGAAAGCAGCGGCGAGAAGCAGAGTTGCCTCACGCAACTCATTGAAGAGGAAGTCTGGCATGACGAACGGTTGCCACAGTTTGTGCTCTATTGTAGCAGTCAGTCTGCGACAGCAACCGGATAAAGTTTACGGCGATTGTGCCCGTCGCAATGTCGTCACGGCGATCCCATGTCAACTCCCATCATTGCTGTCTCCAGCGTAACGAAGGCCGCGTCAAAGTATAGCTCTGCGGGTTGATGAAGAGTGCGCCGAAAGGTCTCCAGCTAACAAGCTGCCTAGTGTGACGAAGGCAAGCCAGTGTGCAGCCGCTGCCGAAAGAGGGGACTTAAATGCGTGTATCGACATTTACTAGAGTCGCAAGACACATTTTCGAATTTTTCGCTGCAGCAAGGCCGCCCTGGTGAGAGTAGAGCATTCGGAGTTGGTTACTTTCGGGGTATATTTCTACCACATACACCAACTCCGAAGTGGCCGGGCTCGGACCCGGCAGCCGACTTTCTGCTCGGCCATTATTTCGGCTATTTGGCGGTCTTCCTTGTAAGCCCGCCGAGCCAGTTTGGGGTTCTGTCAATGTATCAGCAAGCGATCGAACGACATTTGAAGGCACAAAAATCGTGTATTCAGCTGTTCTTGCCTTTTCTGCAACACACCTTTCAACCCAGGAAAGATATGTCAGGCTCCAATTCGAGACCCAGAATGCCCGTGTCAAAATGTCTGATAACCGGTCTTCACCATAGGGCGTTGGCTTTGGAATCGTTCCGTTCGGCACACGTAGGGAATTTGACGCCTCCGACTTGTAAAACAGCGCTGATGGCTGTGGGGCTCCTAATTGCCTGCTCTTTCGCCCTTTCGCCCTTTCGCTGGTTGATCCGTCGTGGATGCCCAGAACCACATGGGTCAAGTAATTCAGGTCGCTCGACTGTTCCAAGGGGCCGTCACGCTTTTCCGCCTGGCTTGGAAAGATCCCAATGACGGAGCGCACCGGGCATCATGGTACATCCGGCAGTCGGTGGTTATGACGTTGTAGAATGAGTTACCGTGGCCAGATGCGGAACATTCGGTGATCAAATCTCTGTGGTATCGACAAACTTCGAGTTCGTAAGTCTCAAAAAGAGCAGCTGTTAAGGACGCGGGCAAGAAGTTGCTGAAATCACTGCCTAGGATGGCGGCCACCAAGGGAGATTGCCAGATCGACTACATATGGCTAGGAACAGTTAGCACTTCCTACATCAAGCTGTAGAGATTGGAGATTCATTGGCACTTGCTTTAGCTGCACACTGGGCTGTGTGTCTACTCGATGCTAATCTCGAGCAGGTGTGGTGGATTCGTGGATGGCCGGAGAAGACCCTCCAAGCCTTCGCGGGTGCAGTAGAGGAGCATCACTTGCACCTATCGAAGTGGCCTCTGAGGATCCTTGAGTATCATAAAGATATGAGATGAAATGAAGTTCCAAACGCACACAAGATTGTCGTGAGGTTGGACGATGGACGTCGAGTTGGACGTCGTCAGGTGGGAAGAAACAGTCACGTGGCGCTCTGGTGTCCTGCAGATTTAATGTTTGAGGCTCTTCTTCACTGAGGTAGGTAGGTACCTTAAGACAAGATAAGGTACGTTCTTTTGGCGGAGTGAAAGTCACAAGTGGAAGGAAAGAGGAAAGGCAAGGGGAAGGAGCTCACATACTGCCGAGAACACCCCTCACCGACCTTCACCGGAAGATACCCCGCCCATCCAGGTGTCCCGGCCTCTCTCTCACCGAGGCCCACCTCAGAGTCACCGAATCTGGCCACTTTCTCCCCCGACAACATCGTACGACTCAGAATCGTCTGACATGTCACCAATTACGCACAGTACTCCGAAGACATGGCTGGAACGCATCACTATATAGCCGCAATCTCACTCACGAGACGGACGATAACCCTCTCTCATTGAACCTGCAATGTTCATCCGTCCGATCCGCCGTCACATCATCGCTCTCGTCTTTGGCACATTCGCAGTCATCCTGGGCATGCTATACCACCGTCCCATCACAAACGCATTGAACTTTGTCTCTCATACCGCAAGATTCTCATCATCCGCCCACATGGCGCAGGCAGCCCGCAGACCAGTCATCGTCGTCGGCTCCGGCCTCGCCGGCCTGTCCGCAGCACAGGAGGCGCTCAAGGCCGGTGCATCGGTCCGGATGCTCGACCGCGCCCCGAAGCCCGGCGGCAACAGTATCAAGGCATCGTCCGGCATTAACGGTGCCGGGACTCGGTTCCAAAAGGCCGCAGGTGTGGATCAAGATGATCTCTTCTACGACGATACCGTTCGTTCTGGCGGCAAGCGATTCGCTCAGGGCCAAGGCGTCGTTCAGCGTCCGAAGCTCGTTCAGCTCTTGACTGAGAGCTCTGCGGATGCTGTCACCTGGCTTGTCGATGAAGTTGGTGTTGATCTGAGTGTTGTTGCCCCTCTCGGCGGACACTCTCTTGCTCGAACCCACCGAGGGGCCGGCAAGACCCCGCCAGGAGCAGCCATTGTGACGACTCTGCTTAAGAAACTTGGGGAGAATCCCGAGTTCCAACTCACAAACTCTGCCGAGGTCACATCGCTCAGTGTCACAGATGGCGTCGTGAAAGGCGTGCACTATGTACAGGATGGCGAGCAGCACGACCTGGAGGGCGCCATAGTGTTCGCCGTCGGTGGATTTGCCGGCGACGCTAATGGACTTCTCGCCAAATACCGCCCAGACCTGGCAGGCATTCCATCAACAAACGATGCACGACCGGCTTCTCATGGCATCTTGGAAGCAGTCGGCGCAGAGTTCGTCGACATGGACAGCGTACAGGTACACCCGACAGGGTTCGTCGACCCCAAAGACCCCGAGGTCCGGTACAAGATTCTTGCTGCCGAGATGCTCCGCGGAGAGGGCGGCATCCTGCTGTCGGATAAGGGCCGGCGATTTGTGAACGAGATGGAAACGAGGGAACACGTCAGTAAAGCCATTATGAGCCTTCCACCAAAAGAGGACGGCGACGTCAAGCAGTGGGACATCACCTTGCTCATGGACCCCGGCGCGATTGAGGTCTCTGAGGGCCATTTGGGCTTCTACCTGTGGAAGGGCCTGATGGAGAAGAAAAAGGTCAAGGACTTGAGTCCAGCTATCATCGCCGCGGTAGACGAGTACGCCGCGGCTGCTGCGTCAGGCACCGATTCAGCCTTTGGAAGACGGACATTTGGCCGGTGGAGGCTTCCGGCTGGCGACGCCAACCGCGAAGAGGAAGTATGTGTGGGACGCGTCACGCCCATCACTCACTTCACGATGGGAGGCGCATCTTTCAACGAAAATGCCCAAGTACTGAGAGAGGACAAAACAGCCATTGATGGCTTGTGGGCCGCTGGAGAGATTACTGGCGGCATCCACGGCGACAACCGCCTGGGAGGCTCATCATTGCTTGAATGTGTGGTCTACGGAAGAATAGCAGGACAACAGGCCGCCAAGGCCGCGACAAGTTCATGATTTTATAGCCTTTCTGTAATGATGTAAAAGTTTAGCCACGGGAGATTCAATCAGCAAATGCTTTCAAAGTCATCTACTTGAACGCATGCAAGTGGTCGGTTCGTCGATTGGCACCTCATTCACCAAGCACATAGAAGGGTGGATTAGGTACTTAAGCGCATGGGTTGTCTGATGGAGGTGGAGGCAAGTCACATGGTTTGTTGAAGAAGATGGTCTGTACAGATTCAAGGTGAAATCTAATCTACATGATAGAATGTCATAGGCCGGGCCCTTCCCGAGAACCCAAAGCCGTGTCGTCGTCACGTTCGCAACATCATCCTCCATACCGCTTGGCCAGTCTACATGGATTTATGCCAGACCATGGAGCCTCCATCCCCGCCATTCAGTTTCTTCTCCGTCCATCTAGACACGAAGGGCGAACTTCCTGTTCAGCTGTCTGCCAACCACGGAACCGTCCGTGGTCTTGGCGGTGCCGTTTCCAGCAAAGCCGTTGTTGGCGAGCTTGTTGACAGTCTGGCGGGGCACTTGGCTGACAACACCGTCGAGCGCCGTCTCGGCGATGTAGCTGCACAGCTCGACGGGATCCGAAGGCGCCGAGCCGAGGCCGAGGAGGTAGGCTGCGAGACCGGCGATGTGGGGGCTCGCCATGGACGTGCCGGAGATTGTGTTCTACATAGTCACGAGTCAGTCCTCTTTCCTCGGCGAGATCATCATAGACTATAGATATCACGTGAAGGGGGGAAAGGGGGAAGCTTACAGTCTTTCCACCGGGCCAGGTGCTCATGATGTTGGTGCCAGGCGCCAGGATATCGACAGAAGCTCCAAAATTGGAGTACTCCGCCAGCGCGTCGGTCTTGGTCGTCGCCCCGACGGTACACACGCTCTCCTCGCTCGCAGGCGAAGAAGTAGACGCATCCGCCGCCTCGTTACCCGCAGCGACAGCCAGGAAGTGGCCCGCCTTCACAATCGCCGCAGCGGCCTGGTTCACGGCCGTCGAGGTCTGCCCGCCGAGCGACATGTTGACGACGACGCCCTTGGCGCAGCCAGTCTGGCCGGCGGCGTCGGTCGCGACGAAATCCATGCCGGCGATGACGCCCGAGTTGGTGCCCTCGCCGTTGGAGTCGAGGACCTTCACGGCAAAGAGCTTGGTCTTCTTGGCGACGCCGTAGGTTGCGGAACCGACTGTGCCGGCGACGTGGGTGCCGTGGCCCTGGCCGTCCGTGTCTGAGTTGTCGGCGAAGTTTGCGAGAAAGGTGGCGCGGCCCTCAAAGTCCTGTTTTGGGAGTCAGCTATTCAAGTCTCGCTGGTTCGGTATGTGAGGTTGGACGAAGACTCACTGGGTGCTCGATATCGATGCCGGTATCGACAATGTAAGCACAGGTGCCCTCTCCGGCACTCTCATCGTAGCTATACGTCGTCGAACCAGGCTGTGTGCTCGAGAGCCTCGCGATACCCCACGGAGCGCTCCTTTGCGTGGCCTTGATCGTCACGATAGCGTCCTGCTCGATGAAGTCGACGTCCGGGTCATTCTGGAGGCTCTCGAGCTCAGTCGCGTTCAGCGTCGACGCGAATCCGCGGAGGTAGGGCACGCTGCCACTCTCGCTGCCGGCAAAGTTGTAAACGTGGTCGGCGTCGGCGGAAAAGGTCTTCATGACGCTCTGCAAGGCACCCGTCTTGGCTTCATTCTTGAGACGGACGATGTACTTGTCCGCCACGAGGGTTGCGCCCCTCGGCTTGATGAGGGGTGCGGGTTGAGCACGCCGCGAGGGAGCGGCGACGGCTGCGAGGGGGAGGAGGGCGAGGATTGTTGCGGCGTGCATCGTGACGTTGGGTTTGGGTGTCAGTGAGGCGTTGGAATGAGCGAGTGAGTTGTATAATGAGCGAGTGGATGGTGTCAAAACGAATGGATGTGACCTGTGAGATGATTGAGAAGCCTGGCTGAGTGTTGAAGGCGATGCTTGATGACCACAGCATCCAAGGTGCAGCAGACCGACCGGTCTTATACCATTCTTCCTTCATCTGCATGATCCCATGGCCCATGATCCAGCGCACTGCAGCAACGCTATCTGAGCTGGTTTACGAACTATTCCTTTTCCCTTCCGCAGTGTACACATCGAGCGGCCATTCACCCTTCCAAGTTGGGCAGGTGGGTAGATCTGCAGTCGATGACAGCTCGAATCCAAGGCCCCCAAGCGAGCCGCATCCATGACCCGATGCTCTCGTTGGAAGGGACGCATCGTGGGACCCCTGTAGCGGTTTGAATTGAAGGGACCCGCGGTGAGAAGTGCCGGGGACCAACCAGGAGGCCGCAGAGAGCCTCAAGTCGAGACACAAGTTCACCGCCGGGGGCCCAGGGGCGGGAAAACTGCTGGTATACTAGACCGGACCAAAAGGGCTGGTGAGCTGGTCGCTGTGATGCGTTGGTATGCGTTGGTTCCAATGCCGTGTCGGGCGCTGCGCTGCGGACATGGGGTGTTGAGATGTCGATCCCCCTCCGCCATCCAGGAACATCTTCTGCACCTCCTCGACACGGCAGTGGCTTTGCGGATCGGGCGAAGTAGGCTGCGCTAGAGACCCATGTTCCATCGTCGAGAACGAATCCTAGGGACAACATAAACGGGGAGGCAACAACAAGTCGCTATTATCAGATTACGTGGTTGGGGCATTGATGATGGTACGGCCTCTACTCCCCTTTCTCCCCTTGGTCTCGCAGCAGGAGAGCCTAATGCTAAATGTTAGCTGTGCTCACATGAGTGGTTGATTGGGTTATATCGCCTCAAAATTAAGCATGAGCTGCCACAAAGCTGGCGGGTCTCTGGGACATGGGGTGAACGAACCAATCCCAGCCGGGGAATAGCTTCAATGACCTTTTACCCACAAGACTTGGAGAGGCGATCCCCAGGGGTCCTTGAGGCTCTGATTCGCTCCGCGCCAGACGCCGCCCAGAAACGACCTAACATGCGGATCTTCGTGTCTCACTTCTTTTTAGCCAACCAACGTTTCCTTTTCTCTCAAGTAAGAGATGCTGCGGGTAACGGGGGATCGTGCGGTTAAGGTCTGCGGCGGGAAAAAGAAGCATAGCCCAGGGTAAGCTTTATCGGGCGGTGCCATGTAAGGACAAGGTCGTCACTTGATGCTTGTATAACAGCTGGGGTTTGTTGGGACGTTTACGGGTTGTGATTTGCGTAGTCTCGTCCGACCGTCGATGGAGCTGTCTTATTGCGAATCTTCCGTCATGTTACAGGTCTTCTTATCGGATGGTTGACGGGATCCAAGCAGATCCTCGCGAACCATGGATTGGCATCACGTGGAAATTAGGTCGCGGCCAATTGCATCGCGAAACTTCTGTTTGTTTCTCATTAAGATACTTGATAGACATCTGCCAAGAATATTCACGTCGCACTTGTCGATGGTGCGATTCTTCCTAGCAGAGGGGACTTTTGCTGCGACGGGGATCTTGGTGATAGTTGGAACCTCCGCTGAGGTTCCCCCGATGCCATCATCGAACTTTAGGTAACCACAAGTTCAATCACATGGATTTCCAGTAAGGACCTTCCAAATATGACAATAAGAGACGGCTCGGTGCTGACTCGACGTTGCACGTATATTCACAAAGCCGATACGATGCGGGTGGCCGTGATGCCCGGGGCCCGGAGCCGCGAGAGTGGCGCCTCATGGTCGATACATCACAATCCAGATAGATGCATGTGAGACAAGATGAGAGGCCTAAGCAAGATCGAACCAGTCGAGGCGTGCTCACTCTTCTTGACGCTTCCCTCCTACGCAACCGTCGGGAAGCACTTCAGACCTCTCTCGTCGAATCCCACGATACTCTCGATTGTGCTCATATTCACCACTCGAGGTCACCGGGAGCATTGAAATAATCATAAAATTTCACCATTCAAGCAAAAGTTTCCAGGAGTTCTGTTCATTTTACTATAAAAGAATGACTACTACTGATCTGGAGTGACAGTCGGTTCCTGGAACGGGTACGAGTATGGGCTCGATTCAGTGAAATTTCATATCGACACAGCGCCCACGATGTCCGTGAATTAGAAAGCTCACGCCTTCACAGCAGACTGAAGCTTCAAGCGGCGGAATCCACCACGGCAAGAAACCTCATTCTGAAGCTCAACCATTCTCTTCTGGTCACCAGTAGGGTCCGCAGAGTCCTCATCCAGAGTCCACTCGAGGAACTCGTTGGTATAGTTGGGCTTGAAGGACTCGTCCAAGACACCAAGCCTCTTGCCGTATTTGGTAACCTTGGTCCAGTCGCGCTGCACATTCTTCAGATCGTGTGAGAAGTAGACAAAGCTTCGCTCGAAGATCTTGCGGTTCAGGTCGGAGCCCATGACGGGCTTGAAGTCGACATACTCCTTCCAAGCCTGCTCCGGATCCTCCAGCACAAAATCCGTCGCCTTCTTGACGGCCTTCATGAACTTGCGCACCTTGTCCGGGTTCTCAGCGATGAAGGACTCGTTGCCAATGTACAGGATGGTACAGAAGCAGCAGCACCCCAGCTCGGCGAGCTCGTCGATGCGAAGCATCTGCACGTCCGTCTTGGGGCGACCCTGGGCGGCGAGCCACTCCTCGAGCTCGACCATCTGGACGTTCTCCAGGCCGATGCCGGCGTCAATGGTGCCCTCGATGATGGCCTTGGAAACGTTCATACCGCAGCGCACGGCGGTGTACTCGTCGGGTGTCATGCCGTAGTGCGAGGTCAGCTCGTCGATCTGAATCTTGCCGAACTCGCCGACGTAGCCGATTCGCTTGCCCTTGAGGGAGCGGAAGTCGGTGGTGATGCCCGAGTCCTTGAGGTAGACGACACCGGTGAAGGGCTCGTCGAGGAGACTGCCGATGGACAGGACGGGGAAGTCGCGAGCCTTGGCCTGAGCGTGGAGTTAGTTTCGTACACCACCGCGTAGATGAGGGTAGAGCATACGGCAAGGGTGTGAATCATGGCCTTGAAGCCGAGGTCAACTTTGCCGGTACCGATAATTTCGGTAACATCCTGCGATCCGGTCAGCAAATACTCTCGAGTGAGCTCAGTCAGAAGGTCCATACGCTAGGGTCGTTGGGCTCAAGAAGAGCGACCTTAATGCCTTCTTCTTTGAAATATCCCTTGGCCTGAGCCAGGTACAGCGGAGCATGGTAGGGCGTAGCGTGCCTGACGACGTCGTCAACTCACATTCGTAACAGTCATCACGCGCAGGGCAATCCTAACCAGTTGGTGAGGAAGGTGATCTTATCAGTCGACATTTTGATAGATCAAGCGTGATGCTGCACGGGTTAGTACACTCAGGTTCCTATAACTCGTGCATGGGGGCAGGGATTGCCAAAGAAGCATGTCCTTTCGCTGGTATTATCCAGATCAAGTTCACCGGTATTTCTCAGATCAACTCATTTCCTATGCCCGAATCCACCCAAATGCACCTCGATCGATGAAAGATATCGAGATGGGCTAGGGTGCCGGGCACAGTAGACGAGTTGAACACCCGGATGCGTTCTTCTCTTACTTTACCTCGATCTGTAGATGTTTCCATTGCGATAGATGCCATGGCTCTTTGACGCGAGCGTCGTACCAGGTGTTGGTTTGGTGTGTGTTGGTTGGTGGTTGATGAGTATGAGAATATCAATCGTGAGTATTTTGACGAAGGCAGACTCAGAGACTTGTGCGAAACGCGGGAGACACCAGGATGATATATCCCTCGTCGGGAGGGGTAACTTCCTGATCGCTTAGACCTCTGCATAATCCCCTCACTTGGCCGAAGCTAATCATGCATTTCGGCCTGGCTTCCGGTCTCCCGACCAGTCCAACTGCGTCATTCTTCATTCATCGTGAGTGACTTTGAACTGGCGCCGAAAAACGGGCGCTCGTGAAATAAAATGGACCGTAGCAAAGGAGCAGTGGCCTGATCCCACGTCTACCCAATTATTTTTTCGCCATTCCGTTCGAGTGACGATCTTCTTGCTGCTACAATGCATCACAAAAGTGGTCTCGCAGGCTCAATTCTGCCCTAAAGGATCCGAAGGACCTGAACACGGAGCCGCAATTCGTCAAAGGATTTCCCAGCAGGATCTCCCGCTCGAGGCCCGTCATGGGGCGCGCCGGAATACTACCCACATAACATGCTTTGGATACGTAATAGAACATGGGCAAAATGTCTCATTTTCGGAGCTACTCCGCGCGTCCGTGTCTGCCACCGTGAGCGCCGGGTGCTCCGGGATCGGATTGAATGGATCCTTCAAGACCTCCGGTCCTACGCCGAGCCGGCTTAGGCCGATGTTGGCCGTGCTTCGGCTGAGTGTATTGCACAAAGAGGCCGATAACATTTCATCTATTGCATAAATCTGAATAACTCAGAGAACTCTCAAGGCTGGCGAAACCGTCATGAACGGGCGAGAGGAATGAATTGACCCAAGCTTCATTACTATCAAAACACAGGCGCATCCATTACTTCGTCGGCGTTGACGGTGCAGTAGACTCACGGCCCGTCCCTGGCCGCTGATGGCTCATCTCAATCATCCCAGAGTCACTCGTCGCATGATAACGCTGCTCCTCCATATGCAGGTCGTATAGCCCTCCTTCCTTGGACACCAGAGTATCCCGATATATCCATAATGACTTATACCGTGGCTCACCAGTGGACCCTTTCTCACTGGGCGTGCTCGTCGTCCGATCCCGAATAGCCATCGTCCTCATCACCTGTGCCATTTCCACCGCACCACCATCGGGTACCACGACCCGATTGGCCCACAACGCAACCCCAATGCCGAGAATGAGCTGGAGAGACGCCGTAAGGATCAAAATCAGGTTAATCATTCCCCAATGTGAGACGTTGAGCTTCGTGCCCTTCATAGGCATGTTTCCCTCGATAACGAGATTCGTATTACTGTCGGCGCTGATTGCGACAACCCCAATAGCAAACCGCGATAGTATTGCCTCCATGTCCGCGGTTGTTCCGTTCACAGGCGTGCCGAACACCGACTCGGAGGGGTACATTTGATATTGAAAATTGGTATCATTGACGAAGGACGAGCCGGCATATCCCTGCAGCGCGATGCCGGCTGAGGCTAGAGACGTGAGATTGGCGCCGATTTGGTGCTCGGCACGGGTAGCGTTCGCGACTTGACCGATCGTGACATTGCAGCTGTAGTACCATGGTGAGGTATCCGATGCCTCGAATGCCATGATCATGGAGCATCCTGTCCCGCAGTCGAACTGGCTGTAAGTCATGAAGGTCGTCTGGTCAGTTCCGCCTCGGTTCGGGATGAATATGTCCCACGACTTATTGTTTTCGAGTGCTACCGTCACATTGGTAGACGTGCCGTTGCCGCCGCCTATGACGGGCCAGGCTGTGCATTTGGTCGTGGCGTTGACGCTCCGGTCTGTTGCGACGGTGACCGGGTTGGCGTTGGGGTCCTTTATGGAGGCTGTGGAAGTTTCGTAAAAGACATATTTGCACACCGTATCTGTGCAGAACATGAGGGGATCGCTCGGGACGTGGATTGCTCTGGCCAACGGGGCAGCTAATATTTCCGCTGTGTCGTAAGCTAGAGAAATTGTCCCGTAGCTTGAAGATTGTTAGCTGTCAGATCGTAGACATGGAGAATCTGAAGACCCTAGACAAGACCGACCTATTCGCTGTGTACTGGAGAGCACCCAGGGCTTGGGTCTTGGACTTGACGACCCTCTCAGTTTCGATGGATGCCATGTTGGCTACAGAAACGTTGCCTGGGACTAATAGAGCTCGCTTATCGGCTGTATCCGTCGAGTAGCAGAGACCGATGGCTGCGAGACCTACTTGAGAGCCCTTGACGATCTGGTTAGTAATGTCGCTGCAAAAGAGGCCTCATGCACCCTCACAATTGTCAAGATCAGCCATCCAACAGCAGCAAGATGGATAGACCATCTTCTTGACCTCGCTGCCAACGCAATCGTGTGCTTCAGGTTGTCGGCCTGCAAGATCAATTCCACCTTTCTCTTCGACCTGTACCGACGGCTCAGGATCCACCATCTTAGCTCGGCCACCATGTGGTTGAGACTACTGGCCACCGCGAGACCCAGCGCGATCGAGAGACCAGTGATGAGGGCGTTGTACTGTCGCTTCGTTGTCTGCGTCATGACAGTCTTGTTGGAGTATGCCCATATGACGACGTAGATCGAAATGATAATGACCATCGTGATTGCCCATCGTGACAGAACCTTCCCTAGCACCTTCATCTTGGACTGCCGCCTTGCGGGCAGGCCGCGGAAGTGACCATTGTCGGCATCGTTGCGGAGAATCGAAGCATTTTCCAGTTCATCCTGGGCTGTCAATGTTGGCAGCGCTAGAAGCCCTTGACGTTAGCAAAGGTTTCCTATGTGGCAATGGGACCCTCGATGACATACTTTGCGCTCTTCTGAAGGGGTAAGGCATCGTGTGAGCCGTCTAGAGGACTAGCCTCCCAATGGCTGAGGCAGTATTCGCGTGCACGTGAGCGATTGCCTACGAAGGCATCTGCGGTAGTTGACAATAACCACAAGAAACCTCGAACGGAGAAATGCAAAATTAATGTCACGAAGGACGTCGTAGGGAATGACATCTTTAAAGCTCTCCCGTGTGGATGTGGATACAACCCCAAGATGGAGACCAAGTCCAGCCCACTTAGTCTAACTTCTAAATTCCTGAACGTCAAACAACAGGCCTGTTGCCGGCCGGATGCACCGAGGGGGCCATGCCGTCGGTCGAGAACATGCCCCCACAGGGCATGTCAAATCTTCTCCAAGAGGCCGTGGTATTCAAGGGAAATTTTGTACACGCAAACTGAGACATGCAAGATCTTGATGGGCGGTATAAGACCCCAAGAACTGGCCACTGTCAGCGCACCTTTCCATAACAACAGATGCGGTCGACAAAGTCATTGTCTGAGAATTGAGGAAATCAAGAGCGCCTCCGGCGACGATGCGCCAAAAATATTCAAGACTTGGCAGAACCCGCGACGGAGGTCCACCTCAGCCCGATTGACGATTCATGCGCTTCAGGGGTTCCAGGGCTGAGAGTCAGGCCGACAGCCCTGTCACCTCGAAAACGGACAGCCCGAGATGACATCTTTGCTCTTCTGGGAGACCCAGGAGGCAAGAAACTAGGGGCCTTTCGCGTGGATCCGACTACCTGATGGGGCTTAAGCTGAGGTCTTCATTCTAGCGATTGTCCGATGAGTCTAAAGTCTAAACTCTCCTGAAGGAGACCCGCCGTCCGCAGTTGACAGGCAATTGGCCCCAGACATCTTTTCCAGCACGCAAGTCTTAGTTTACAGGCGCCGAGAATGCCCCAAGCTCTTCTAATCTTAAACCGACCCTCAAACATTCCTCTAGATTTAGGGAAACGGCAGATGCGTTCCAATGCTAGTGATATGTCTCGCCGTTCAAAACGAGTGCCCACCCAGCCGCTGAGTAGAAAAGGCACAGTTGTCGCCCCTGAACAATCATCCATGAGTTCGGTATGATTGACGCGGGCATTGCAGCAACCAAGAGGAGCCGAACCAACAGAGGCTACCCGCCAAAACGCTCAGCCGGTGGGACTTGTCAGGCGTTGACAGATTGGCATGGGTTTGTCTCCCGCTATGCTAGTGCCCCGTTCGGACGAGAGAGCCGAATGGCTGGGCCGTATTGAGGCGGGTGTCTCGCAGCCCGCGCGCGCCGTTGGCAGGGCCGACCTTGTCTGGAGCTGGCCCCACGTGAGCGGCATTTGGTAATACTCCGTAATCCTTAATCAATCAGTTCAGATACTCGATCTTCAGTCTTGCAAATAAGATACGGATTGTATGTCAGCAACTGCGGAGCTTTACCCTTTAACCCCGGATCTATATTGGTCTGGAGTTGACGTTAGGTACCGCGCTTCGTTACTTAAGTAGTGCTCCCAAGTCGTTGAAGAAATGGTCAGGGCAACATCGAAGTACCGGTGTGTGCCTACACCTCCCTCGACCAAGGAGCAACTGCAAGGCATCTATATGCAGCACGTATCGTATCTCAAATCTCACATGCATCCTTGGCTTGCACTGCCTGAAGATGAGTAAGATCTGGTCATGTGACAGATTACTTTTGGAAGCGGGGCCAAGTTCTACCTCACGTTGGGTTGCAGCCTGACAATAAACAAATTGTCTTCACCATACCTTGAAGGAACATGATTGTTTAGGCTATTGCTTCATGACACATTCGCCGATGGAATGCACACCTAGTTGTGACACACATATGTCCATGGAAACGACGTTTCTTTGCTCTGTTTGCAAGCAGGTAGTTCAGCCAATACCGAGCGACTTCACCTCTAGTCAGTTAATCATGCCACAAGGCCAAACTTTTGACGCCTTTCGAAAGGCAGCGTTAGGAGACTGCTTCATCTGCTCAAAGTTGTGGAACTTAAGTGAGTTTCACAGGAAAGGATGGGAGTTGTCAGACTCCCAATCATGGCGGCCATTGTCGTTCAGGGTCGACAAGGAATATTATGAGGGTAAACTCCACCAGATCAGAGTGATGGTCCTGTATCGAGACCCCACGCGAATCCACGGCGAAAGCATTACAGACTTACGATTCAGGTTGATTCCTTCATCTGGTATGGCCGACTACTCATCAATGCCCAAATCTAGCCCTCGATGTTAGACACACAGCACCAGCTAACATTATTGATAGAGAGCGAGTACTTGGAGCTTTTCTCGTTCGACAAGATTGACGAAAGCACTGGCTCCCCAGAAACTCTCGATTTAGCTCATTCTTGGTTTCAAGCGTGTTTACATGGCCATGATCAATGCAAGCGCCTACCTACCTCGGCCATCAACTGGCTGCCAACTCGCCTTGTCGACATAGGTTCCAAGGGAGAGACAAGCTGGAGACTTGTTGTCACCTCAGAAGATCCAGAAATAAAGCACTGTCAACCGCTCCCTCAGTATATAACCTTGAGCTACCGCTGGGGCACCGAACCTCAAAAGGTGCTTTTGTCATTGCACAACCTGGAATCACTGGGTCGCGGAAGTCTCATTGTGCAACTACCACAGACATTTCAGGACTTAATTGTAGTCGCACATCATCTCGGTATTCGATATGTCTGGATAGACTGTCTATGCATAATTCAAAACTCCCGGAGTGACTGGGAAAAGGAAGCGCTCACGATGAGAGATGTATACACTAATGCAGCTTGTAACGTTGCAGCATCTGCTTCGAGTAGCCCTGCTGGTGGACTATTCCGATCTCGTGCCACAAAGGACATTCGGCCGGGCATTATAACGTCAAACATCAGTTCCCAAGAACCCAGGGAGTTTTACATGTTTGATAAAGGATATTGGGACCGCCACCTTCTGCAAGGTACTCTGCACACCAGAGGATGGGTGTTGTTGTTGTTGTTGTTGTTGTTGTTGTTGTTGTTGTATTTAACGCCGTGGCGGCCGGGCTAGAGCCCTTACCGCAGACCTCCCGAAGGGTATATGGCGTGGAGGGCCGTGAGCCAAGGCTACCTACTCTACAGTGCGTCGTCTCTTTACATCGTCCTCCAAATCATGCCTTGTGGCCACTACGCGTTCTGTCTGTCCCCGGTTCCCGCTGGTGCCCCAGTTTCATTCTTTCCCAAATCGTCCCTTGGAATCGGGAGGTTCTTTGTAGTCCGCACTCACATCTACCTAGGTGTGGATGCTGCTACCGCAGACAGATCTTCTGGAAGAAGTCCGTCACGCGGAGAAAGGCCTCGAAGCCTCGTGGGTCGGTGATTAATCTCTTGAAGTAGGCCTCGAGAGATCCCATAGGACCTATGGGCTCGGGCATACTGCGAGAGTGGAGGGTCGGCCACCGTTGCCTCCTCGCCAGCGTTAGTCGACAGTAGACCAGGTGGTCCACGTCTTTCGCCTCTCCACAAGAGCACATCATTAGAGCGTCGTCGTGGTTGAAACGTCGGTGATATTGCTCGAAGTCCCCGTGACCCGATCGTGCCGCCAGCAGGTGATGTAACGTAGCCCGCGGCAAGGCCAGTTCAGGAGGGCTGGACAGAGCTGCCTCAAGCCCCAAGTCCGCGTACCGCGGCCTTCGCTCTTTATACCACCATCTCCTGTGCTGGCTTTGTAATTTTTCCCTTGCAAGCCGCTTGATGCCCGCTAGTGTTGCCATTTGACCCATCCGCGCCGGCAGTGTCGTTCCTTCTTTGGCCAGCCGGTCCGCGGCCTCGTTTCCTTCGATGCCCTGGTGTCCCGGGGACCAGTGCGTCCGTATATCAAATATCCTGGCCGCTTCTTGGATTTCGAGGAACGCGTCTTGTGACGAGTCCGGCGCCTTGCCGCGGATGCCTTGTATAACGCTGGTGTTGTCGATACATATGTGGATTGGATGACCGCGATTGGTGAGCAGAGCCCTTCTGAGGCCGGTTCGCGCCCCTTCGACCTCGGCGTCGAACACTTCTGCTAGTCCGAGTCGGCCGCACCCTTGCGCTATGCGTTTGGAGTCTCGGTAGATGACGAAGCCGTACCCCACGGCTCCGTTCGTCGCCCTGGAGCCGTCCGAGAAGACGATCATATGGCTTTCCGGTACTGTCTTTAGCCAGCGCTCGAAAGCTTTCGCAGCCTCTTCTTTGCATTGAACTACTATCTGATCCTGTGAGCTTGGCAGGTACTGTGATTGGAGGAACGTTGGTCTTCCGCATCTTGGCAGAAGTTCAGCCGTCCGTTGTAGTCTCGTCTGTTGCTGTCCCTGCTGGGAGAGCCGCGCGACTAGCGGGTGTCGGCGATCAATCCTCTGTAGTCGGACTGCGGCCCGTAAACGGACGCCTTCTAAGGCGACTTTGGCTGACGGTAAGCCGGCGTCTCGGAGGAGGCTACTGGTTGGCGTTGTCCTCCAGACAGGTAGAACGATCCTTGCTGCCGCTGTAATGACGCTGTCGATCTTCTGCACGAGCCCCTTCTGGCCTGTGTTGACGGGTCTTCCTTGGAAAGGCGGACTCGTGTCTGTCTCCGCTTGGCGTCTCGAAGCCGGCTTCGTTGATACCTGCGTACATGTTTTTCGGGCG